CTAGCGGTATCATGCAGATTTTTAGGTTCTGATTTAACAATGATAATTTATTTTTAGCAATTCGTTTTAATGATGCACTTGATATACGCACCTCATTTTAACACAATAGCTCTGGCATCCGAAGCATTATTTGAATATCGAACAAAAAAAAATACAAACGCTATACGTCATGTCCGGGTGCTGTATAGTCTATGCCTATCTTCTTGTTGCACAATAATCTATGCGCCTATTTATAGTCGCCATTGTTATTATAAGATGTCGTTCATCATTTTTTCGTTTGTTCGTACGTTTCATTATGTAGGGTCATGACCGCCGTATTAGAGGAGTGCATAACCATGTTCGCGCACGAATAAATGATGTAACGTTTATCTTTTTTTTAACAATAATATGTTGGATGTTTATGTCGGCCTAGACAAGTTTTATCTGTAATATTTCCGTATATAACTAGGCAGTATGTCTCATAAAGATTTATTAAAATATTGTACGACAGGAAATATTGTGCACATAATATTTTGAAATTATTAGCGAATACATGAAGTATTCAAAATAATATTGAAAATAACAGACATGTATAGATAAAAAAATAACTCAGGTAGTCAAATTAGACTGTCAGTAAGAACAGAATTGCGCTTAGATTGAATAATGAGCGACGGAAGTTTTAACTGATAACATATTACCATTTTTTATATAAAGTTTTTGTGATCTCAAAGCAGTAATTACATACTTGAATTTGGGTGTCAATAAATTAAGGTATTTATTAAGCTTTTACTACAATTCGCTATCATAAACGCTTACTCAAACGTAATTAATTAATTGAAAATACGATCGTGTGCAGTAGAACAAACCCTACACCAATTATCTTTGTTAGATGCTTTAGTCCTTAACCCTAGGATCCCGTAACCTTGAATTTTTCAACAGCTATATTCAGTTGTAAATATTCATCTACAATGAAAAATGGATGTTCCGAAGGCTGTGCACATGCATGATCAAATATGCCGACATAAAATGTGATAAAACGATAAAATTATACAAAATTTTAAACAAGCGGATGTTTTTAATTGCGTTCAGTATTTAAATTCGCCGGATGCGTTGACAAATCCACACGACTGTCATTCAATTTACGCAACAACTGCCCCTGATTTTCTATTTTAAAATTAATCATAAAGATCGATGACTTACATAACTTTAAATTCATAATATTGTTAAATGCTTTAAAACACTTAAAAAGTGTAATAGGTTATCTTTTTATTAGGTGATTGTGGCAACTCCCAGATTTTTTTCTTCTTTCTTTAATGTATAAAAACATAATACTGGCCATTCGGTTCGATATAAACAATCTTACGAATAATATAAATGCAAAAATTTAGATGGATGTATGGATGGATGTTTCTTAGAGTTTGTAGCTTAAACTAGTAAACGGATCTCGATATAATTCGCATAGATGTACAGCATACTTTGGAAGAACACAGGCTACTTGCTTCTATTTTTACAAACGGACACAGTCAAAGGTGAACGCTAGTGTACTATGACTACATACTAAATGGTGGTTTTTATTAAATTAATACGTTAAAACATTTATTACAATGTTAAGCGGTTATAAACCCTATAATATTATGATAATCATTAATATACAATTTACGATACAACATTAAACATTAGTACAGTCAAATTACATAAAGTCGAAATAATAACGTAATATTTGTCAAATCTATTCGTTCTATACATTTTTGTTTAACCAAAACACGTTCTTGTTACACCACTTACGCATTGCCTGATAAGATATATTTTTAAACCAGCGCTTTGTCTGTTCAAAAAGCTGTTTAGAATATTTAAGTGAGATGATTCATAAATGCGTTGTTGAAGTAAACAGCCTTCAACACGTCTAGACATATGCAGTAAGGTCTATACTTGATTATAGGATGTTGATATCATTTTATCAAAACGTATTTGCGGATTTCCTGTCAGTATTAATATATATGGAAATATTTGCATACACACTATTTACATTCAGAATATTTTCCGCTAATTTTATGGTTTAATAAAATGTACCAATTATATTTTTTTCTAATATCATTAAAATTTAATTAATATACATTTTAGTATAGTTATTTTATTAAGAGTATATTAAAAGATCTGTTTGTGTCAGATTAAAGGCCTAATTTGATTATTTATTATAATACAGTGTAGAATGAAATTTACTGATTGGGTACGCAAAGGCAGAGGAAATATCCTCTATCTGTGAGTTTCCTTTTCTGCCTTTTTAAGGTAGACAACAATGCAAATGCATGTCATTAATAGAGATTGCTCTATTTTTGACCGACTTCCCAAAAGAAGGAGGTATTCAATTCGACGGTATGTTTTTTTTTTTTTTTTATGTGTGTTACGGCATAACTCCGCCGCTAGTGGACCGATTTGGATAATTCTTTTTCTATCCGAAAGGTAATGCTTGCAGGTGGGTCCCATTTTTTTGTTTAATTTTTGGAGTCTAAGACTACGACGTAATTAAATAGTTTAGCTCAAAATCACGTGACGAAATTTCGGGTCATTTTTGCTTTCTTTGCTTACGTAGCCTAAACTATAAGACCTACATAAAAATGATGTATGGAAGAATTGTAGCCCATTAAATTTGCTAAATAAAAGTCTGCGATAGCATATATCTATCTATTAAGGTTGTCGCACAATAACCACTTTTTTCATTAAAATATCGCTCGAAATCTACACCCAACTTTCAACGCTATTACTCGTGTTCGGTATGAATCATTATCCAAATAAATGTGTCTATCATCAAGAGAATTTAATGTAGATTATAAATGCCCTTAGAACTATATTATTCCGATCAATAGTTTAGGAGATATCATAAATTACAAATTACGAGTCGCAGAAAAAAATACCAACTTTTAACAAAGTTTGCTTTCTTGGCTTACGTAGCCTAAACTATAAGATGTACATAAAAATGATGTATGAAAGAATTGTAGCTCATTTAATAA